CACACGAACGATTCACGCGCTTGACTCAATTGTCCGTCTCCATCTCTGTCTGCAATTCAATTCCATTGTTGCCGTCACTTCTTGGCGGTCTTATATACAAGAATATCGCACCTCTAGTAAACACTCGAGTATTCACGAACCTTCGAGAATATCATGACGTGTTACGAGGGTCACGTGACTTCCGCTGTCGTAACACTGCCCCTTAATTATTATTGTTCGGCCCGAACAATAGCCACTTACATTAAACCAATAGATAATTAACAATAACGTGACTTCCGCTGTCGTAACACTGCCCCTTCATTAGTATTATTCGTCCCGAACAATAGCCACTTACATTAAACCAATAGATAATTAACTCAATGCCGGCAACTTCAACACAGGGAAGATGCTATGGCAAGAAAGGCTGCTACCCAGAAAGGTTGTTGGAACTGTGGAGAGCAAGGACATATGAGGAGCCAGTGTAAGAAGAATACTACCAATAAGTCAGCTTCTGGAAACCAGTAGTGGTTGGTGATGAGGGACGCCCACCAACCCCCCATCGTGAATGTCCCAACAGCTAGGTGTAAAATGCCAAGCACACATAGTGTCTACGTGACAGGAAAGGTGGATGGCCAAAAGTGCAACTTGGTCATAGATTCTGCATCTCAGCAAACCCTTGTGAGTATCAAGGTGCTGGATCACAAAGGACTATCAGAAGCTGTACAGAAGCTCTGTAATGTGACAGGACATTATGCAAGGTTGTGGGACCAGTGTGGGTAACTATTGAGCTCACAGGGCATGAAGGACAGACACAAAGTATACTTGGCTGACATTGAAGACCATGCATATTAGGGTTGGACTACTTACTACCGAGAAAGTTTATAATTAATTTCGATAAAATGACGTTTGGGAACAACAAAGGCCAAATTCCGGTAACTGTTAAAAGAGAAGTTGAACTAACCAGGTGTCATCAAGCTGAAGTCAAAGTGACTGAACCAGTTGATGATAGTGAAGTGGAACCAAGTATAGATATTAAAGCAGAGCAGGAGAAAGATCAATATTTGAAGCCAATAATTGATTTTCTACAATCAAGTATTTTGTGCCCTGCTTGGGAGAAGGTGTCTAGCTCAAACCCTGTGACAAAGAACTATTGGACACAATAGGACCAGTTGAAGCTTGAAGATGGTATTCTTCTCCAGAGATGGGAAACTGTAGATGGGAAAGTTATACCGAGAAAGTTACGGGAAGTTGTGCTGCATCAATCCCATGATAGTTTAACAGGAGGACATCTCGGAGTTAAGAAGACATTGAGTCACATACGACAGAGATTTTCCTGGATAGGTATGAGGCAAGATGTGGAAGAATGGTGCAGGACCTGTAGTACATGTTGTACTAAAAGGGGACCCAAGCATAATGGACGTGCAGCAATGAAGTTATATCAAGTTGGCGTACCAATGGAAAGAGTAGTTGTTGACATTGCTGGTCTTTGCCCCAAACTCGTGCTGGAAACAGGTACATTTGTGTAGTGATGGATTATTTCACCAAATGGCCTGAGGCATATGCAATACCAAATCAGGAAGCTACAACTGTAGCTTCGGCTATTAGTGATTTCTTCTTCAGATTTGGTATGCCATATGAACTGCATTCAGATCAAGGCCATCTCTTTGAATCAGCTGTGTTCCATGAATGTTGCAAGTTGTTTGGCATACGAAAGACCAGAACAACGCCACTCCACCCACAGTCTGATTGGATAGTAGAAAAGTACAATTGGACACTTGAACAGGAATTGGCAAAGTTTTGTAATAGCTGCCAAGATGCCTGGGATGTCTTACTTCCTCCACTGTTTATAGCCTATAGAATAGCAGAGCATGAAGCCACTGGACATACTCCAGCAAAGCTGATGTTTGGTCGGGAACTTCGGTTGCCACTGGATCTGATAACAGGACGCCCACCTTACGAAGAGTTGCCTGAAAATGTGTCAGAGTTCGTGAAAGTGTTATCTGAAAGAATGGATGATATTCATCATCAAGTGCGTTCAAACTTGAAAACATCTGCAGATTCCATGAAGCTATATTATGATAAGAGATATGCTGAAGTCAGCTTTGTACCAGGAGACAAGGTGTGGTTGTATAATCCCAGGAAGACCAAAGTGAAGTCTCCTAAGTTGTCTTCTCCATGGGAAGGCCCATATGCCATAGTGGGTCGTCTCTCAAACGTGATTTTCTGAATAAAATGTAATCGGCAAGGTAAACCAAAGGTGGTGCATGCCACAGGCTTTGGCATTATCATGGTCCAGAACATTTCAGTTGCAACGAAGTGAACAACGGAACAGATGCTGCTGCTGAAGATGTGTCAGCTGAAAAAGCCACTGTCGAAGAAGAAACTCTATCCGGTTTTGAGAAGGGAAACAGTGAAGCCTTTAATGAAGTTACTACCACTGATGTGACTGTTACCGATAATAGGACATTTCCTGATGGAGCAGATGAACCCCACGTGAAGCAGAAGCCAACGAGACAGAGACCAGTACAGAAGAAGATACGTCCCATAAAATTAAGTGACTTTGTTGAATTTTAATTTTGTGTTTGTAAATTCTGTACATTTAATCAATTTATTGTTAATTATCTATTGGTTTAATGTAAGTGGCTATTGTTTGGGATGAACAATACGAAGGAAGGAGCAGTGTTATGACAGCGGAAGTCACGTGGCGCTGGTAACGCGTCATGAGATTCTTGAAGGAACTTGAACATTCCTGGCAACTCTAGTCTTTTCTAGGCGCCCTCTATTTTAGTATATAAGCCCGGCAAATAAAGCGGAGATATAATTGCAGACAGGGAGATATAGAGACATATAATCGAGTCAAGTCGTAAGTAAAGTGCGTGAATCGTTGTGAATTGTAGCGTGTGTTTAAGTTAAAGTGACTGTGGAAATTAAGTGTGTTGCAAATTTGTATTGAGAAAGAATAAAGTAGCTTTATTTAAGATAGGATTTATATCGCTGAAGTTCTTCGGAAAGAATTTTTATGGGAAATTAAAAGCCTTTACTTGACAATTGGCAAACATAACTTAACATTTGACAAACATCATCCACCTTTGTCAAACACATGTAAGACAGTTAAATATATTATATGAATACATACCTTTGTAAGATATGTGTAATACAATTAAATATATATATGAAAACTATAAACATAAATTGAGACATGTTGAAATCTGTATACAGTCCAACGGGATTATGGTAATACTATCTGCCTATAGAAATACCATCTGTCTTTGTAAAATATACACAATATGCTTAGTACAACCATCCATGTGTAGAACTTTAGCAACACTGTCACCTATAGAACCTTGGTAACACCATCCCCCTACAGAAGCACCATCTGCCTTTGTAAGATGTACATAATGCAAATAAATGTATATAAGCAAAAACTATAAAGTTTATAGGAGCTAGAGATTAAAATAGTACATATAATGTGTTTGTAAAAAAGAAAAACGTTTCAGTACTGGTAATTGTAAGACAACATTATGAAAATTAGATAAAGTATTAATTTTAAGATATTAATTGTTGTTATAAATTTGATGTCATGTTGAGCTACATCACCCTTGTGGTTCGCTTGCAAATTATCTGCATGCTCATCATACCTTCTGGTGCCACTTCGTGAAACTATATCCCTAGCAATGCTCCCTCTAGTGTTACTTCGTGGAACTATGATGTCACCTAGGACAGCAGCGCCCTCTGTTGCCACTTCGTTGACGTCACCGTCTCCATGCCTTTTACATAACAGTTACGTAAGCCTTTATATCAGCATAATTTGCATATTATGTAATAGCTATGAACTCATATATTATGTAACAATTATTTAATCTTGTGGTATCGGTATAATTTGCACATTATGTAATATTTATGTAACCCTCAGGTGCCATCCTTTGATCTCCTTTCACTTGGGAACCCCCAGTAAAGTGGCATCCTTTTGATGGCAGGGTACCCCAATAAGTACTTTCACAATACCGATTGGCCCGGCATGGCCAGGTGGTTGAGGCACTCGACTCGCAATCTGAGGGTCGCGGGTTCGAATCCCTGTCACACCAAACATGCTCGCCCTTTCAGCCGTGGGGGCGTTATAATGTGACAGTCAATCCCACTATTCATTGGTAAAAGAGTAGCGCAAGAGTTGGCGGTGGGTGGTGATAACTAGCTGCCTTCCCTCTAGTCTTTCATTGCTTTCATTAATACCGAGTACCTTTTGAGATCCTCTTCTTAGGTAGTCAGACTTTCTTCATATTTCTTTTTT